TGGTCAGAATGGGATGTTACCATATTATGTGAATTAATTCTGTAATAACATCAGAAGTTTGTTTCATCCTTATTGTCATCTGAAATAGGAGGCAAGTACCGTGGTCAGCAGACTTTCAAATATGATATGCAAGATTTGAAAGTGGTGATATCTATATAGTTTGATAGACATTGGTGACCATGCCACTATGTTTGATAATATTGGAGTTGAAAACTTGGTAGTTGTGAGCTACCAGCCCTTAAAAGTTTTTGTTTGGGCATATAGGTTTTTTGAAGGAGTGTGGTGGCAGGGGTTGGGGGGAGGTTCCTAAGACTGTCCGCAGGCTTGGTGTTTTGCTCAAAGGAAACAAATCAGAGGAAAGCAGAGAGAAAAAACTCGTGATTATGATTTGTTACAGTGAAAAGATACAAATTAAAATCAGCAAAGGGAAAAGTATGTGTAGGATGGAGGCCAGGTGTAAGATTTTAGTTGTCCTTTCCCGGTGGAATTGCATGGATAATGCTTCCTTCTACCAGCCACTTTATATGACAACATATGCAAAGTGTTGTCAACCAGGAAAGCTTACCTGAGTCTTGATATCCAGGGTTTTCATCAGGGATCATTTACATAGGCAGGAAAGTACCCATATGACTATCTTAACTACTCAGTCTGCAGCTTCCCTTATCCCTCCTCTCCTCTGAGGTCCTACTGTGGCCCAGACCTCAGGCATACAAAAACAGAATTTACCATAATTTACATCATTGACATAAGTTACCTGGCCCAAGACCTCAGGTATACAAAGAGACTTACCAGGCAGAATATTCCAAGGTCTCAGAAGTTATTTCCCAGGAGTCTTCACAGGCAGGTCCTTTCTTTGGAATGTGCAAGGTTTGAGCCCCCAAGCTTGTTAGATTTTCCGTTTTACTGCACAAGGTGATTTGGATTTTGACAAAGGAGAGTGTCTCTAGTATAAATTCTTACAACAACAAAAGGGTAGGTGAGATAGGCCATAGCTAAATTTGCCTTAAATATCTAATGTTTTAAGACAAATGGCATGGATTACTAACTGTCAAGGCAGAAATATGTTAGGGCTCACTGAGATGTAAGGAATCTAGCATTTAGGACCCTACAGTAACAGGTTTCTTAGTTGGAATCAACACTTACAGTTTACTGATTGCCTCCTATAAATTCACCTTGCTTGGTGAAATACATATATTATCTATTTTACTTATTTTTTATTAAAATTTTTATTTGAATAGACACAGTGTTAAATTCATTTCACATCTACAACATAGTGATTCAGCATCTCCATATGTTATGCTGTGCTCATCACAAGTGTAGCTACCTTCTGTTACCATACAATACTATTACAATATGTATTCCCTATGCTGTACCTTTTATTCCTGTGACTCATTGATTCCATGGTAGAAAACCTGTATCTCCTACTTTCCTTCACCCATTTTTCACTTCCCTTCCTCCCTACCCCATCCCCTCTGGTAACCATCAGTTTGTTCTCTGTATTTATAGGTCTGATTCTGCTTTTTGTTTATTCATTTGTTTTTTTAGATTCTACATATAAGTGAAGCTATACAGTATTTGTCTTTTCCTTTCTGACTTGTTTCACTTAGCATAATACCCTCTAGGTCTATCCATTGTTGTTGAAAGTGGAAAAATTTCATCCTTTTTTATGGCTGTGTAATATTCCGTGTGTGTGTGTATGTGTGTGTGTGTGTGTACTAAGTCTCCCACTGAGAACTACTTGACATGTAGGGAACAAACAGCTTTCAAGGCATTGTAGAGCCTTGAAGTCAGTCGTAACTTGAGTCAAGGTCCAGGAGAAAAGGGAGATAGACATATTCCATGCTACTTTCCCTTTTGAGACATTTTCAAACTCTCAGGTTACTTTGGATAAGAGGATAGAAGCTGAACATTGTAGAAGAGATGAGCAAAAAGCAAGGAAGTTGAGTGGAGTTTTCAATAGTTTTTTGTTATTGTTGTTCTAGCCTTAGGTTTCCAGCTGGAATCCTTTGAAAGGGGGCACACCATAAGAGTGGGAACAAATCAGAGGTAGGCCAGTCTTCACAGTGTTTGAAACCCTGTCTCATGCCAGCTCAGTCCTTGATTGGATTTAGGTGATCTGTTCCTACTCTGACTGCTCTCTAGAAAAAATTAAATCATCTCTGGAAGAAGGTAACATCATCTAGAGCCTCTATATTTATCCATACGTATTTTCATGCAACCATTCACATACAATGTGTAACATTAAATAAAGAATTACTAGGCACACACAAGACCGTCAGAGATAAATCAACAATAGAAATAGGTTATGCATAGGCTATGCAGACTCGGAAGTTACATACAGGAGCTTTAAAATACTATAACCTATTCATGAAAATAGATGGCAAGGTGGAGAATTTGACTAGAGAACTGGAATCTGTAGAAAAGAACTAAGTAGAAATTCTAGAACTGAAAAATATAGTAACTAGGGCACTGAGTGGCTCAGTTCATGAAGCATCCGACTCGAGTTCAGCTCCGGTCATGATCTCCAAGTCATGAGATCGAGCCCTGAGTCAGGCTCCACACTCTCTTCCTTTCTTTCTCTGCCTCTCCCCTGCTCACATTCTCTCTCTTTAAGATATATATATATAACTAAAATTAAGAACACAATAGATGGTTTTAACTGCCAGTTGGACACAGCTGAAAGAGGATTAGTCAACTGGAAGAAAACGTAGTAGAAAATATTCAGGACCATGGATTTGTCCTTTTGGTGTCATGACCAAACTAAGCTAAGGAACGGGTTTTTCAGTATCTCACCAAAAAAATATCCATTGTTTTAGAGCGTAAGGATAAAAAAAAGCCCTTTTGAAGTGTAAGTACAATTTTTCGCTATTTTAATGTGTGTGGTTTTTATATTTTTGTTATAGGTTTTTAAAATAAGTATGTAAAAAGTAGTTGGTAAAATATAATATTGTCACAAATTTCTACTCGAAAGCCTCCCCTCAGCCTTTGAGCAAACAAAAATTATTCATATAGTATCTTATGGAGAATTCACATGTTCAGCGTACTCAGCTATGTAAATAGACCTTAGAATGAGAAAATAAGCAAAAATATTTAGATTCAAAATAGATACCCAGAGCTGGGTGGTAAAATATGTATTTTCGCACAGGGGAGCTCTTACTTTTAGTTGGGCTAATGGTTATAATATGTTTGGTAATCTTGTGAAGTTGTTCATCCCAAGTAAGAAATAGCAAATTAGAAAAGAAGTTACAGGTAAATTATTGAGGGATTTGTTTTGGCAGTAAATACCTTGTTTGATTTTATCTGAGACTCTGCTATGAATCATACCTTTGCTGTATGTACCACTAAGAAAAAAGAGGCTGTCAATTATGTCAATATTTTGACATCCTTTAATTATAGGATGCATCCTAATTTCAGAGATGTTAAAATGTGAAGGAAAAGGTAATCTTAGTTTTAAATTTCAGTTGTGTCATTTATTGTTTGTTTGGCTTTGGTCAGAGAACTTCTTTGAACCTGAAATAAGTGAAAATAAGTAGTGTAGTCTAGTCTTTAGAGTTAGGAAGACTAAATGAATTAAGAGATATAAAAGTGTCACGTATGGGGTATGCATTTTATACTATTAATTTGGCTTTCATTACTTCCTTCTAAAACTTGGCATTGTTACGGTAACAGGAAGGGGTTCCTGACAGCTAACCA